TGGATTCTCAAGTATCTCAGAGGTACGTCCAAAATATGTTTATGTTTTGAAAATGGTGATCCTGTATTGCATGGTTATACAGATGCAGATTATGCTGGAGACAAGGACTCCAGAAAGTCCACATCGGGACCCCTAATGACATTTGCAGGGGGAGCAGTGTCATGGCAATCAAGGCTACAGAAGTGTGTTTCATTATCAACAACAGAGGCTCAGTACATTGCAATGGTCGAAGCTTGCAAGGAAGTGTTATGGATGAAAAACTTCTTGCAAGAGTTGGGACATAAGCAAGAGAAGTACAATCTGTTTTGTGACAACCAAAGTGCCATTCATCTTGCCAAGAATTCAAGCTTTCATTCTCGAACCAAGCACATTGACGTGCGGTACCATTGGATTCGAGAAGTGGTGAGTTCCAAGTTATTGCAACTTGAGAAAATCCATACCGACCACAATGGTGCGGATATGATGACCAAAGTGCTACCGAATGAGAAGATGCAAGTATGCAATGAGGTAGCGGGCATGATGGTGCCCCCCTCATGAGTTGGAGGGGAAGATATGTTGGGAAATCCTTCTCATGAGTGGGTGTTGAGGAGAGTAAATGCTCATAGTGAGCAGGCCCACACGTCATAGGTGCAGCACAAGAAAGTGGACCAAACTTGTGTGCATCTAGTATTTTGCCTCTTGGCTTACAAGAGAAGGAAAGGGAAGCTTCGTGAGTCTTAATTTAGCAGAGAGAGAAGCAGCTCTAGTTCAGCCCCTTGCTTCTTGAGTGTGAGAGAGGGAAGAAAACTAGAGAAAGAAAAGAGAGGGAGAAGAGTGAGATTAGAGAGGAGATCTTGCAATAGATCAAGAAGGGTTCGTCCTCAAGGTTATGAAGCTTCAGATCCACATCTTTGGTGCCTCTAATCTGAGTTCCACCATTATTTGGTGAGGTCTTTCCACTCCCTAAGTAGCAGTCCCTAAATCTTATTGTTGTTATCCATGATCTGCGTATCTTGATGTATGATTGCCTCTAGTGCTATCTAGAGATGAACTTGTTATAATCCCATAAGCATATAGTGGAAGAAGATTTGGCTTGCTTGGTCCCGTGGTTTTTACCCCGATTTGAGGGTTTTTTATGTTAAATCTAATGTCTTATTATTGCTGCGAGTTTGGCTGCAACTAGTTGCGACTGCAGTTGCAAGTGATTTGCCGCAACTAGTTGTGCTTGCTGTTGGTGCTGTTGTGATCAGTTGCAACCAGTTGCAACACTGCGGTTGATGTGGACACAACTGATTGGAACCAGTTGTGACTACTTCTGAGGTGATAACAACTGATTTGGACCAGTTGTGACTGCTGCTATTTCCTCCATATATATTTATGATGCATATGTTTTCTTACGTGAATAGGTGATGATCTGGGCTAATTTCGCATTGTGGTGAAATTAAGCGCTTCCACTGTCACTAGCAAGTGTGTTAGTGTGGTTATCCCAACGTCTTTTACCTGAAAGATGATATGGAGCAGGTAACCCCAGAACCCATGCCATGAGCAATGTAGTTCGTGACATGCTTCGCTGCACCCATAGATGGACAGGGTTGTGCCAAGCTGAAATAGGTCACAAAACAATTATTCTTCGGATAAAGTTTTTGTTTAGAAGTCCTTGTCATGCATCACTGGCTTGAGGAATTCAGTGGATAGATAAATTATTTGGCTGTGATCCTGAAAGAGAAAAGGCTTACCCCGTCGTAAATCTTCGCCAGACTGAAGGTCCACCTACACGATAGACAGTTCAATAACCATAGCAACCAGTTCTTCCAGAAAAAAATGGTGCTACAAATCAGTCATGTACGTATGAATTCTTGTCTACCGTTCGTGGTAATGCTATTTACCCATTGCTTGACTCTTGTCCTCTATCTAAAAGCGTACAGTCCGACCAATCAGACCACTGCTCCATGTGCCACACTGGGTGCCTGGTTGGTATGAGAGGATAGATCATTTTTGTGAGAGACAAATGCCTGACATAATGAAAGAAAACACGTATGAATATTTATATTGTCGGAATGGACTAGAGGCCTGAAAAGTTTCAGGTTTAGCACCATGAATCTGAATTAAAGAAAACATTGTTCACATGTTTCTGAATAGAAAAAAATGTCATACAGAAGGCATGATTCATATAAAATCAAAATAAAAATGCATACAAAAGGCTACATCACATTCATCTGTGCTAGCATCCTGAGCACCTGTTTAAATGGAAAGATGGTTCTCTTCTGAAAAAATTATTTCAACAAGTTTCTCGAATAAGTTGAACTCTGAAAATTTATGCTTACAAGTTTTTAAAGACGTTCCCCAAATAAAGTTTGTGCAAAAAGGACTCACGATAAAAGCCGGGTTTACCTCTGGAAAAAAAAAAGGCTCACGATAATATTATTAAAAGTTGTGCATACTTTGATAAACTATGCAGTTGCATAAACGAAAATTACAAAAACAAAAAGAAAGTGCCGGATGCTGTCAGGAATTGGCCGTTGGGTTTGCTCCTGGCGGTCGCACGGTCTAGCAAGCATCACGAATTCACGATGCGGTCAGGCGGTCATGTTAGCCGCCGTGGCCCACGTTTATATTTATAATATTTATATATATGGATGATGAATCATGACAAGTCGCTCTCGGCTCTCGTGTTGACCCTTCTCATGTGAGTACGTGACAAATGCACTTTGGCCTCTACTGCTTGCGACACTGCGACCCTGGAAGGGCCGGCTACCATCCTACCACGACCACGAGACTGATGTGACAAGCGTGCATTGCAGCGCGGCTCGGCCATGGCGGCCAAGACTTGGCAGCTGATGGTGGTGGTAGTCATGATCGTTCGAATGGGCGTCGAGCCCTGTGGCGCCGTGGAATTCGCGTACGACGGCTTCGGCGGCGCCGCCGGCCTGCATCTCGACGGCATGGCGACCGTCACCCTGGCCGGGCTGCTGCAGCTCACCAACGACACAAGCATGCCCAAGGGCCACGCCTTCCACCCTGAGCCCGTCTCGTTTCGACGGCCGGCGAGCGCGATGTCCTCCTTCTCGACCACGTTCGTGTTCGCCATCGTCTCGGAGTTTCTGGACCTGAGCACGAGCGGGTTCGCGTTCCTGGTCGCGCCGTCCACGGACCTGTCCACGGCGATGCCGAACCAGTACCTGGGCATGTTCAACGGCACCGACAACGGCGACGCCCGCAACCACGTCTTCGCCGTCGAGCTCGACACCGTGCGCAACCCAGAGTTCGCGGACATTGACAACAACCACGTCGGCGTCAACGTCAATAGCCTCAACTCCTCCGCGGCCGCGCCGGCGGGGTACTACGACGACGCCACGGGTGCGTTCCGGAACCTGAGCCTCATAAGCCGGGAGCCCATGCAGGTGTGGGTGGACTACGACGCCGCGACCACGGAGATCACGGTGACCATGGCGCCGGCGCCGGCGCCCAGGCCCCAGAGGCCGCTCCAGTCCACGAAGGTCGACCTCTCGACGGTCATCACCGACTCGGCGTACGTCGGCTTCTCGTCGGCGTCCAGCATCGTGCTGGTCAAGCACTACGTCCTCGGCTGGAGCTTCAGCCTCGGCGGTGACGCACCGGCGCTTGACTACGACAAGCTGCCGAAGCTGCCCCGCATTGGCCCCAAGCCCCGGTCCAAGGCGCTGACCATCGCGCTGCCGATAGCCACCACAGTATCCGTCCTCGCGGCGGTCGCCGTCACGTTCTTGCTCCTCCGACGGCGGCTCAGGTACGCCGAGCTGCGCGAAGATTGGGAGGTGGAGTTCGGGCCACACCGGTTCGCGTTCAAGGACCTGTACGCGGCCACCGGCGGCTTCAAGGACAGCTGCCTGCTCGGCGCAGGAGGCTTCGGAAGGGTGTACAGGGGCGTTCTTCCGGGGTCCGGCGCCGAGGTTGCCGTGAAGAAGGTGTCTCACGGATCAAGGCAAGGGATGAAGGAGTTCGTCGCCGAGGTCGTCAGCATCGGCCACCTCCAGCACCGCAACCTTGTGCGGTTGCTCGGCTACTGCCGGCGCAAAGGGGAGCTCTTGCTGGTCTACGATTGCATGCCAAATGGGAGCCTCGATAAGCACATACACGCCCGCGCCGGCAAGCCCGTCTTGGATTGGGCTCAGAGGCTCCACATCATCAGAGGTGTCGCCGCCGGACTCCTGTACATGCACGAGGACTGGAAGCAGGTGGTCATCCACCGGGACATCAAAGCGAGCAACGTGCTCCTCGACGGCGAGATGAATGGGCGGCTGGGTGACTTCGGCCTTGCAAGGTTGTACGACCATGGATCCGACCCGCACACCACGCGCGTGGTCGGCACCATGGGGTACCTTGCCCCGGAGGTGGTGCGCACCGGCAAGGCGACAACTCTATCCGACGTGTTCGCGTTTGGTGTCTTCCTCCTGGAGGTCGCGTGCGGCCGGAGGCCCATCGAGGACGGCGACACCAACGACGGCGACTGTTTCATGCTCGTGGAATGGGTTCGGGGGCACTGGCGCAATGGATCCATCACCGGCGCAGTGGACGCCAGGCTCGGCTCCGGGTACGACGCTACGGAGGCGGACCTGGTGCTGCGCCTGGGGTTGGCGTGCCTGCACCCGTCGCCCGCGGCACGGCCGACCATGCGTCAGGTCGCTCAGTACCTCGACGGCAGCGCGCATTTGCCAGAGCTGCCAGCGATGTACACGTCGTCGTTCAACGTGTTCGCTGGCATGGAGAGGCACCAGCCGCTCTTCGGCTCGTGGTCAGTCCGGCAGTTCACGGCTGCGATAAGCGTTGCCACCATGTCTGACATCGGCCTCTCCGGTGGCAGATGACATGACCACAATTCCCATTGGATTCGATTTAAGATTTAACCACACAATTTTTGCCATATATCCATATATTATGTTTTATCCAAAAAGATAACCGAGTGGATCTGTGAACGTTGTCCATGTCGAAAGCTGTCACGGTGACAAAACAATGCAATGTTCAAATTAAGACGGGCAATGGAATCACATTTTCTTTAGCATCGTCCTATACATTGGAGCTCCGCGAGCGAGAACATGGCGCTCCCAGTCGGATACCACGCCGAACGGGTTATCGATCCGGTGTCCACCATCCCCGTCCATGACAAGCTGACCCTTGCTGTAGGAGAGGAACTGCTCTTTCATCACGAGCAGAACGGACTCCACGTCTGACTGCAGATAAACCTGCAGCAGCAATCGCAGTATTCGTACTTTTCTATCGGTTTCTCTTCACCAAGAAACAATGCATCATTGTTTAGCTCAAATTTTTTGGGTCAATCCTAGACTCATACTGCCATTACACGCGCCTTAGATTCTACAGTGATGAACACAATACCTGTCCATTGGTATGAAGAAGGCCAACGACAGCTTCAACGAGCATTCTTCGCACCATTCTCCACCTATTTTGCTCTTTGTTGAAGTCAGGATTTGGGCACTGAAATGAGATGATCAGAAAACAAGATAAATGCACATATCATGGATACGCAGGCAAGCAATCCAGCTAACAGCAGAACCAAATAGCACATAAAAGGTTGAAGTGCTAGGGTGGTGTGTCTGCTGTGTACATTGGGTTAGTGTGGAAAATGAAGTCATAGAGCCCATGTTTCCATTAAGCATATAAACCAACTTCCCAGGTAATATTCAAGTTTCAAGAGTGTGGCATTGTTTAATCGCGTTCTATATGGAGATCATCATACAAATGTCCTGGAACATATGGACAATGATGATTGGATTTTAAGTGACCAACAATACAAAGATGTAGATCAAGATTTTTGCACGAGTTTGCCCTAGTTGCAACGGGATATCAAGTTATTTCCCTCAAATAGCTAAATTGCTAGAGTCCACCATGTCTCTCTTTTTTCCCCTTTTTTTCACTATGTGACTTCTTTGTGCTCTCTTTAATTTATTATAATACATAAATCAGTAGGGTCACAACCCCTCCTGTTTCCTAAGAAAAAAAGCAAATTAACCAAGGAGTAAAGGAAACCTGTATTGTGACAAGAGTCAACCGTCCAGGATAACTTGAAATTATGCTGCCCGTTCGTTGGTTGATTTCTAGGCTGATAAACCCAGCTGGTGCTGGTTTGTTGTAAGAGGAAAACACCGTTTGCTGGCTGATAAGCCCTAGCTGAAACCAACAAGCGAACAGACTGATGGAACGGAATGTGGACGTTGCATTTGTTGACACAAAATATCTGTTAGAAAATAAACCACAGCATCATTGATGATGAAATAGGAAAAAAAACAACAACAACAACATAGCCTTTCAGTCCCAAGTTGGGGTAGGCTAGAGTTGAAACCCACTAAGAACTCCAAGTCACGGTTCAGGCACTTCAATAGCTGCTTTCCAAGTACAGTATTCAAACATAGATCTCTAGATATATCTCAAGCTTTCAAATATCTTTTTATTGTCTCCCTCATCAATTTCAGTCTTCATCTACCTCTCTTCATATTATTAATTTGACTTAGGACTCCACAATGCACTGGTGCCTCTGGAAACATGGTCAAACCACCTCAACCGATGTTGAACAAGCTTTTCTTCAATTGGTGCTACCTCTAGGCGATCACGTATATCATCGTTCCGAACTCGGTCCATTCTTGTGTGACCGCAAATCCATCGCAACATACGTATTTCTGCAACACTCAGTTGTTGAACATGTCGAATCTTTGTAGGCCAACATTCTGCTCCATACAACATAGCCGGTCTAATCGCCGTTCTATAGAACTTGCCTTTTAGCTTTTGTGGTCCCCTCTTGTCACAGAGAATGCCAGAAGCTTGTCGCCACTTGATCCACCCTGCTTTGATTTTATGGCTAACGTCCGCATTAATATCTCCATCCCTCTGTAGCATCGATCCCAGATACCGAAAGGTATCCTTTTTAGGCACTACTTGACCTTCCAAATTCACATCTCCCTCCTCCTATACAACTCCGCCAAAGTCGCATCTCATGTATTCGGTTTTAGTTCTGCTCAATCTAAAACCTTGGACTCAAGGGTCTGCCGTCATAACTCTAGTTTCCTATTTACTCCCGCCTGGCTTTCATCCACTAACACTACATCATCAACGAACAACATACACCAAGGGATATCCCCTTATATGTTCCTGATAACCTCATCCATTACCAAGGCAAAGAGATACGGACTTAAGGCTGACCCTTGATGAAGTCCAATTTTAATCGGAAAAGTAATATGTGTTACCATCGTTTGTTCGAACACTAGTTACAACATTGTTGTACATGTCCTTGATGAGGGTCACGTACTTTGATGGGACTTTATGTTTGTCCAAAGACCACCACATAACATTTCTTGGTATCTTGTCATAAGCCTTCTCCAAGTCAATGAAAACCAAGTGGAGGTCCGTCTTCTGCTCTCTAAACCACTCCACAACCTGTCTTATTAAGAAGATTGCTTCTATGGTTGACCTTCCGGGCATGAAACCAAATTGGTTTGTTGATATCTGCGTCGTTCCTCGCAAGCGCTGCTCGATTACTCTCTCCCATAACTTCATAGTGTGGCTCATCAACTTAACTCCCTGATAATTAGTACAACTTTGGATATCTCCCTTGTTCTTATAGATTGGTACTAATATGCTTTTCTCCATTCCTCAGGCATCTTGCTCGATCGAAAGATATTGTTAAACATCTTGGTTAGCCATACTATAGCTATATCTCCGAGACATCTTCACACCTTGATTGGGATACCATCAGGGTCCATCGCTTTACCCCCTTTTATCATTTTAGGCTTCTCTGACCTCTGATTCTTGAATCCTCCGCACAAAACGCCTGTTAGTGTCATCAAACGAGTCATCCAGCTGAACGATGGTGTTCTCGTTCTCACCATTGAACAATTTATCAAAATACTTTTGCCATCTATGTTTGATCTCATTCTCCTTCACCAAGAGCTGCTCCCTCTCATCCTTTATGCACTTTACTTGGTTGAAGTCCATTGTCTTCCTATCGCGAGCCCTAGCCATCCTATAAATGTCCTTCTCTCCTTACTTCGTACTCAAACGTTGGTAAAGGTCCTCATATGCCGCCCATTTGCCTCACTCACCGCTCGTTTTACAGTCTTCTTTGCTACCTTGTACTTCTTTATATTGTTTGCACACCTGTCATGATACAAGCGCTTATAGCACTCTTTCTTTTCCTTAATAGCATTTTGCACATCTTCATTCCACCACCAAGTGTCTTTCGAGTCGCATCCGCTCCCTTTGGTCACTCCAAGCACCTCTGAAGCAATCTTCCGAATGCATGTTGCCATCTTCTCCCACATGCTGTTTGCATCGCCTTCATCATTCCAAGTGCCCTCTTCAATGACCTTTTCACTCCTTGATGTATTTTATTGTTGACACAAAATATTTTGTCCTTAAGACAATGCTTAAACTTGTGTATTTTATTGGTGACTTAATTTTCTAGAATGAGATTTCTCAATAAGGTTTGAAGTTTCATGACAATTTTTGTGGCATCTGCATTTGCACAGAAAGATCCACAGGGTTATCCACGGTCAAAGAAAGCAATCCTGCTCTTTCTCCTGATTAGGATGTGATGCTTTCAGGAGAGAAATTTAGATTCCTCCGGATGTACAGTTCACCTCAGAATGTGCCAAACTAATAAGCTGCACTAGTAAGGAATGTTTCAATTCAAGGTGAACATAAGTACATGAGGCTATTCTGTTATTTTGTTTCATCATTTCTTTTATTTTTGTATTAAAAAGCTGTTGCAGGAACTGAGATCACTAGCTTATACAAGGAAAAGGTGAGAAAAACACAAACACAAGCAAGACTTACAAGTTCCTTTTCTCATCTGAAGCCATACCTTGGAGGCACCTTATAACAAGCTACAGAAAAGGTGATTTACTGAAAAGGATGAAGACAAGAATGGGATTCCATAGAGATTAAAAGGTAGTTATTACCTTTTCATTCATCTCAAGCCCAAGAAAATTTGAACTTTCACAGCTTTTAGCCATTTGGAAAAGAAACAAACCATTTCCTGCACGAAGAAAGAGTATTTGCATGACAAGAGTGGAGAAAACACTAAAGCAGAGATAGCCTATAATTAAGTAATGTTTGAGAATTTGGTTTGCACTCTGACCAAACATTCATATACCAATCCTATCACAAAACACAAGCTATACTTTCTGGTCATTTGCCATGGATTACCTAAGATCAAGACTACTACAAGTATAAATTTATGAGATCTATACTGGAAACAACAATATAGATGTGTGATCTGTAAATATGAGTTAATCGAAAACTAAACATGTCACTGCTTTCTCGTGTTTGAGTGTGGGTGGGGTGGGGTATGTGTGATCCATTTCAGCTCAAAATTGCTTTCCTTTTTGTGATGTTCAATCTTTCACTGATGTCAGTGTGCTAGTACATTATTACTAATAAAAAATAGCTGGTACACCACAATTCCCCATGGAAATATATACCAGTCCCCTTCTTTTGAACTCCCTCTGCTCCATTCCAAACGTAGGTTGTTTTAGTTTTGTCCTAAGTCAATCTTCTCCAACTCGAAGAGTTTATAGGAAAATATATTAACATCTATATCTATACAAGATAAATGCACTATCAATACATAGTTCATGGTGCATTTAATGAACCTAATTTGATGTTGTAAATATTGGTGCATTTTCCTATAAACTTGGTTAAAGTTAGAGAAGTTTGACTTAGGACAAAACTAAAACGACCTAGATTTTGGAATGGAGGGAATACTCATATATGAAGTAAATCACAATTTTCAAATATTTAAGGAGGCATACCACTTCCAATATCAACCACTAAAGGTAGTGTAGGTTCACAGAAGACAGTGCTCCATGGAATCCGGTAGGGGTAGCACTGCAAAAGTAAAACAATATGAAGAACTAAATATATCTATATAACTGGGACTAAAACGACACCTCACAATCTACTGAAGATTACTGAAATTTAGAAGTTAAAAATGTGATCACCGAAATTATACAGGTACAGAGGATGCCAGAGACCTTTGAATCATATTTTAATACAATTATTAGTGTTTCTGGCACTAAGATATGCAGGAATAGCACATAGGATCCTTCCATGTTCAGGACTTTCAGGCTGTATACAAATCAGTATGCCAATAGAAGTCCTTGAGCAATCATTAGAAATATTTTAGCACAAGATTCAATCATCTATTTTCTTAATTGATCCACAATTCATGTCTGTTAGATAGATATTGGCCATCTATAACACTGATGCCATGTTGAAGGAATTTAATGCCATTAAACTTATGTAGAACTCTTTTAACTCCTTGGGCTATTTAGGATTGTTTGTGGCCTATGATACAGCATAGCCTGGAATTTCAAATTTAATAACTTGGCTAAAGTGGTGATGTCATATGTCAGAATATGCTCGACTTAAATTAAATGTGTAAACAGGATCTGCTTTATGCAATTTATACCAGTATATTTATGCCACCTAAACATCCAATGTAGGGTCACATGAAAACAAGATAATTGTATAGGCACACAAATATGTGCTGGCCTGTGGAAAGCATCAAGGCATCAGTCTACACTTTCATCTTCATTGTGTGTGTTTTTCCAAAAATGCGAAGGAGAGCTGCACATCATTGCATTAAGAAGAATAAGGGTGTATTACAGGCACACCGAGCCCAAACAACTCTTTCACAATTGCAGATTTTTTTTATTATTCTCCGGATGTTTCCGAAGAGACTTTCACACTTGCAGATTTACAGTTGCACCATGGACAAGAATAAAAACACAACCTAGTAACCTACTCCCATGACACCCTCAACAGTAAGGACAGATGGCCATCAAAAGTAACATCCTCAGCTTCATTATGTTTTGAAGTGGGCTTCATATGTCACACATTGAATAAATACCATGGATGAACTAAAACAATATTTTGCAGATGAAAATTTACTATTATACAAGAAGCGCTAATTATGACCCAATAGAATTATTGTTCTTGTTCAACCATGACTTACTTTATCCAATGCTGCTATACCAGGCAATATCCTTCCTTTGAGGAATTCCCAAACAACAGCGGCACCTTGAAATTCTGTATATTGAGATGAGGAATCTGTTTTTCTTTTTATTGCCTTGCATGCTGCAGTCCCCACTAAAACAATATCACAGCTATCGGAGCTTGCCTTTTCCAGTATTTCACCCAACTGTGTTCCACCAACTGAAAATGTTTCTGTTAAATTGTAGTTTGTAGGGCCAATCCATAGTATCTTCTGTATAAAAAATATAAAAATGTCATAAGATGTCCAGGATCTAAAATATTATGATTGTTTGTCAAACAAACACGTAGGAGAACTGCATGTTAATTGTATTAATGGGGAAGAAAAACGATCGGAATGCATGCCAATTCCACAGCTTGGGTTTTCATAAAAAGAAAGGAAGAAAGAAAGGAGAAATTCAATCGATGGCAGTTCACATGCAGAAATTATCACATCGATCAAAATGAAGCTTTCAAATTGATCTGGATGTATTTTTTTCTTTATTTCTTACACCACATAATTATTTCCTCTACACCACAAGCCTTACCTACTCCTGTTCATTACTAGTTCATTACTAATAAAAAAAAACTTTACAGTTACATGAGAAGCACAAAAAGTATGATATAATTAATGCTTTTAAGTAAAAACTAATTAAGATGATTGCACAGAACCCAGAAACCAACTGAAGCAATGTTTTCCAGTAATACCATTTCTTACCTCATATGATGGAATTATAGAAGAATTTTTCTCCAATGTTGATGGTCCTATATCAACTGGTGTCCAGCCTAAACAAAGTAAGCATGGAGAAATCACAGGTATTAGAATATTTACAACTGCTTCAAGTAATTGATTATCTGCCCCTTCCAACTTTAACTCTTAACACAATCACTACTTGAAGTGTTTTAATAAATAGCTATAGGGCAATGGAAATGCTAGAATTTACAGATAGAGAAAACTCTACAGACACGTGCAGCTCTATAAATTGCAAAAAAATGCAGGTCCCTTTGGCAACTGGTAGTTCAATTAAAAATAAAAAAGGAAAAAAGAGAAAGAGAAAAAGAAAACTGAATTAGGCTCAGTTTCTAGAAGTTGGTATTATAAACAAACATTTCATGGTTTAAGAGCAAAATGTTGCTGCAAACTATCTAATTCAGCATGTTTTTGCATGGTGTAATTTGCCAGCATGCAATAGAGCTCCATTTTTACTAGTGTACTTTGACAGGTAATTTGCTCAATGGTGAGAAACATGTTTTGCAAACAGGATGTCGTAATCTAAACAAGGAAAGCACAATTCAAGAAATATTACCAAAAAAATTTGGTTGAGAAATATGTGAATGACATGAAAATTTGCTAGTAATACTCACCAGCCAATTGTCCAGTAGAGCTGATTACTCCCAATGTTTCACTGCCATCATTTTTCAAGCACCAGAGATCTGTTGGATAATAAATAGGAATATTCCTATCCCTAGCAACTTGAATAATCTGTAGTGCTTCCTTAACTGCATTTCTTTCAATGAATTGAGAGGGCACTGTCATTCCAAGGCCAATCATTATTTGAAATGATAATTTTCCAACAAAGAACAACCCATCACATAGAGAGGTTAACATCTGAAGAGCGGGTGCTTTTCTCAAGAAGTTACTGCCTCCAATCTGCAATAACCAGAAGAAGTCAGAAATAAAGAATCTTGGCAATAGGAAGCGATTACACGATTTTGGCTCTAAAAGGTACTTCGTAGTGACATACGGATCCTCTAGTTGTACATGCTTCATATGGAGCACAAGTTGCGAGGACAAGTTTTTTTTTTCAATTGCAATTAATCATCTACTATAATCAGTAATCACTTGTTTTCAGGTAAATAAATCTCCAGCATAACTGAAAGGGACAGCACAGAATGTTTAGCTATTATCCACCCATGAGCTTAAGATTGCAGAAGGATAAAATGTATAATACTATTTCATAGCATCAATCTTTCTGAAAAAAAAAAACTCAAGAAAAAGACTGTTATTATATTATTAGCATATGATCCATGCCATAATGCCTAAAGTTGTATTCGCTCACTTAAAAGGAAAAACAACACCAGTATAGACTACTTGCTAATTGGGTACTTCTCAGAGCCTCAGGGAAATTCTGCTCTAATAGGTACATAGCGGGCGTCACACATTAGTAGTGTACTTGTCTAACTCCAGAGACTTATGATATGTGAAGTATAAGGAAACGAAAATTCGGTTGTTTTTAATAAGTCATTCATATTTCCCTGGTGGTTCCAGGGCACCGAGGATATTTTAGCATTTCATGGAGGAAGAGAACAGCTCTAATTAGCATACTTTACATACATTAATAGAACGCTGAAAGTAAAGCTGAAACCTATTTCATTGAAAAATAATAGACAGATGCTTTTTTTTTTTACGGCAAATAGACAGATGCTTTTTGATATCTAAATCTTGCATAACGCCTGTCCGCTACATATACATTGAAAAAATAGGCTAATGATTACAATGGCAATATATGGGCGCCTCGTGGTGTCCGTGATCTTTATCAATTGCATAAGCTCCTCCTCAAAATGGAAACCAGCAAGAGACACATAGCAGAAGCACGTGATACCAACAGTTGATGCAAGAATCTTATGAGACAGTGAGAAAGAATCATTGACAAATATCGTGGCACCTGAAGCTAGCTTCTGAGAAAAATCTTTGCAATTAGCAACTTCTCCTCTGAAGTTCACAAGATTTTCAAACAAAATAATACTGTTCTGAGCCCACTCTTCTTGCTTAAATGATGTTAAACCAGGCTCACCATCTACCGGGATGACTTCTACTTGAAGAAGTGATGACAAGTACTCTGACAAAAATCAGAACTTATGATGTGTCAAAAGGAACAACCAGAATTTAAGGCAGATTATTTTCAAGCTACAAACTAAAGAAGTAAAATGTTGTTTTGATTTTGCAGCTTATCAGAAAATTGGTGAACTTTTTTACAACAACAAACAACAACAACAAAGTCTTTAAGTTCCAAACAAGTTGGGGTAGGCTAGAGTTGAAACCCAGCAGAAGCAATCAAGATTCAGGCACGTGAATAGCTGTTTTCCAAGCACTCCTATCTAAGGCTAAGTCTTTAGGTATATTCCATCCTTTCAAGTCTCCTTTTATTGCCTCTACCCAAGTCAACTTCGGTCTTCCTCTGCCTCTCTTCACGTTACTATCCTGGCTTAGGATTCCACTACGCACCGGTGCCTCTGGAGGTCTCCGTTGGACATGTCCAAACCATCTCAACCGGTGTTGGACAAGCTTTTCTTCAATTGGTGCTACCCCTAATATATCACGTATATCATCGTTCCGAACTCGATCCTTTCTTGTATGACCACAAATCCAACGCAACATACGCATTTCCGCGACACTTATCTGTTGAACATGTCGTCTTTTCGTAGGCCAACATCCTGCACCATACAACATAGCATGTCTAATAGTCATCATATAAAACTTGTCTTTTAGCTTCTGTGGTACCCTTTTGTCACATAGGACACCAGATGCTTGGCGCCACTTCATCCACCCTGCTTTGATTCTATGGCTAACATCTTCATCAATATCCCCGTCTCTCTGTAGCATTGATCCTAAATATCGAAAGGTATCCTTCCTAGGCACTACTTGACCTTCCAAACTAATATCTTCCTCCTCCCGAATAGTAGTGCCGAAGTCACATCTCATATACTCAGTTTTAGTTCTACTGAGTCTAAAACCTTTGGACTCCAAAGTCTCCCGCCATAACTCCAGTTTCTGATTCACTCCTGTCCAGCTTTCATCAACTAGCACTACATCGTCCACGAAAAGCATACACCAATTGGTGAACTTCTTTGTCTTATAAAAATGATGGGGCAATGGATACAGTGACTAATTTATCACCATCAACAATGGCAAAGGAGAAAGGACTGTAATTGTGCAGATCCCCATAACAGGAGTACAGGACATCTGGTGTGTAGGAACTCAACATCTCCTTTACAAAATTTAGTCGTTTTTCTTCTTTTGGATAACAATAAATGAAACCCAACAAAGCGATTTTTTAACCAAAAAAATGTAATCCAAAGAGGTGGGGGATTTCAACATTCTGCTATACTGACATAATAAACTGGGGAAAAAACTTCAATCCCCAAAGGGAAATAACAGAAGATATGTCAAGAAAATCATGTTACACAATAAATAACTGACTAACCTGCAAAAGAACCAACTGATTCAATCACTCAATTATCAGACTGAAGAACTGTATCCCAACCGGTGGCTATAACCACTTTGGCTCTTGCTTTGCACAAGTATTTGATAGTTAGCAAAGCCCTTTCAAGTGAGGAAGTGCATGGTCCTAAGTGCCCCAGGATAAGTGAAGAATCAAGACGCACCACAACTACCTCTCCAGAAAGTTTTTCAGTCGGAAAGTCCCTAAGAGACTGTACATGTAGATATGATGTTGACAGATCAAAACAAGAATATTTGTCCTTCTGCAATGATGTAAGCATTCCATGTCAGCAGGAACTGAGGCATAACATTGAAACAACCAGAAACCATAGAAAGAAAAACACTTTTTGAAAAGTATCGCATTGTTTTGTTAATAGACCTAGATCCCAAGTATTTATCACTAACCAGAAACCACAGAAAGGAAATCACTTTTTGAAAAATATTGCATCGTCTTGTTAATAGACCTAGATCCCAAGTATTTATCACTTCTTACATGATAGAAAGTATCATCCTCCATCTCTCCCATGTTTGTAAAGTATCATCCTCCATCTCTCCCATGTTTGTTTCAGTGCACAATTGTCTGATTTGTTTTACATGAAAATGGAAGAACACAGCATGATCATGATGATAGGGATCAGCATCCAGTTCATCAAAGACCTGCAGCTCATTATTCTCGCTAGTCCCAAAAAAATTGTCCTTAGCATCTAGTATTATCTTAATTACAGAGCATAAGCCTCTACGATCAATAAGATGCAATATCACCATAGGACTAAAAGCAAAATTCAAATATGACTATAGCTAGTAATCATATTCTGTACTATTTAGTAGATATCCAATTATCCAGTACTCTCAAGGATACCTCTTTCTCATTATCAACTGAATTAGTAGAGAGCTGCAGCTGAGAGCACCATACTCTGCATTTCAACCTGGATAGTTTTTGTCCCCCTATACAAGAAGAAGTTAACAAAAATTGACGTGATGTTAGAATCTCAATGCATAAACAGAACCAAAAAAAAATCTAAAAAACCAGAGCACATCCCGCTCACCCAAAAAGTAGCTACTATTCATGGTGACCGGGAATCCAGCAGGAGGCAGCCATGGCACTAACCAAGGAAACCTTGATGAGCTTAATTGAAAGTTACAAGCCTGCATACAGCCTTCTTTTGAAATGCCTAGTGATGCTAGCAAGCAGTGGCGGTTCCAGTATAGGAGAGGGGCGTATACATGTACACTGATAATTTTGCCAAAAGAAAACGAAGTTAGCAAGCATAATACATTTATGACATAGTTGGGTCAGATCCGGACACAGATAGTTATATTGGAGTTTCGGTGCACGGTTTCGCACAGCATGAATGGAAGAGAAGGGGCGAGAATACCTGGTGTGAATTCTCGCTGGCGAAGGGCCCAGTGAAGACCTAGCGAAGGGCTCCGTCGCTCGACCAGCGTCGCCGCAATTGAAGAGGTGAGCTGAATCCAGCGCGAGGCGCGTCGCCCGCAGCGGCCGAGCTAAGGTGAGCTGAATCCAGCGCGAGGCGCGCGTGCCGAGCGGAAGCGAAGTGCAATGACCCCCGTCCGCTGGAACTGGAGGGATGGCGCCGAGCCGCCGTATATCCCTTTGGGGCTGCCTGACCCAGTGACCCAATCCCTGTGTCTCTCGTGTCCGGTGTCTCGTCCAAACATCTTCAGAACTTTTTAGCATGGCTCTGGTGCAGCTGTGTGGCTTGTTGCGGAGTCAGTAATGGTCAACTTCTAGCGTTGTTAGAATTGTAGTATGAACAGTCTTAGCCTGTTTTCACTAAGCCGATCTCGGGTTGTTTAGTTGTTTGTAATGTGTTAGTCTGGCTAGCCCTAGGATGTGTTTGGTTGCTTGGTTTTTTTTGATACAGTCACCGCTTCTCTGAATCGGCAAGTTTACCTCTTTGATGGCGTTTGGACAGTGAGTAGGATTGAGAAATGGATATGTGCTGAGTTATACAGAGGTGGGTTAAGGATCAGGAAATTAGCGTTAAAACCCAATCCATCTTTGGCTTGTGTTGGGTTACGGTTTGGGTTCAAGTGGGCTCCGGCAGAGTGGCTCGGTGCAGACCTATTGAGTACTCAGACCGCGCCGCCAGAGCTCCATGGCCGGCTTGCACTGTCGCCCTCCTCACATCACCACGCACCAAGCATTGGGAGGTGACGGGAATGCCAACGGGGGGCTTGGGCAAGCCTGGCCCCAGAAAAACAACCTCTACCTACGATTTTTCCTAGCTAGGGCAAGGGCGTACGAATGGCTTCCTGGAGCCACACCACACCCCACTTACAGCCAACCAAATAAGCCCATCTTGGCTCCAAAGAACCAGGCCAGAGGTTAGCCACCCAACCAAACACACCCTAATTGTACTCAAGAGCTAGATCATGCACTACTACAGAAAACTTCTTTAGGGGCGATTAAACTTGGTTTTCAGGGGCGGTTAGCCCAACTACAACTATGCCACCGATTGTAAAGATGGAGCGTCTCTAGCAACAGGCTTTTAATCGCCCCTGAAAATACATTTCTAGGGGCGGTTCCGTTAGGAACTCCGCCTGTCGGGGACCAATACTAGGGTACCCGAAGAGGAGGAGCTAATAACCATCAACATTGATTCATCTGAGCAGTCAAGAGCACGACTACAGCTCCAACCAACCCCTAGGTGCACAAACTCCGCCTCGCCCGACCTCTGAGGGCTAGCTCCGCCTCGCCCGACCTCTGAGGGCGGGCTCCGCCTCGCCCGACACCGAGGCCGCGGGCTCCGCCTCGCCCGACACCGAGGCCGCGGGCTCCGCCTCGCCCAACACTGAGATCGCAGGCTCCGCCTCGCCCGACACCGAGGCCGCGGGCTCCGCCTCGCCCGACACTGAGGCCGCGGGCTCCGCCACGCCCCGACCGTTGGATCTCCGCTCCGCCTCGCCCGACCCTTGGATCTATGCTCCGCCTCGCCTGGCCTCTAGGAGAGGACTCCACCTCGCCCGACCCCAAGGCCGCGGGCTCCGTCTTGCCCGACGGAGACCCATACCGTCGCCAACCACTCCAGGTCCAAGCGAATGGACCTAGGTCAAAGCTCTGACACTAGGGACGTGACCGGCACGCCCCGATATAACCCATGGCCGTGACGGGCCATACTGGGACTCACATCGAGAAGCAGCGTCAGGCGTCACAGTGTTGTTCTCGCTTAACCCTCGTCACGGCACCGATAGGCGATCGGGCCACCACGCGTCTGCCTCGCCAGACGGAGGGGGCTATATGACCGGAGACGACGCCTGTGCATGGCGCCAGTGACGAACAGGCCGTGACGTAGAGCTATCCTTGTTGACGTCTACAGGGTCGGCGGGACCCCGCATGAAGGAAAAGAAGGACCCGACAATCCTACAGGACTTCTCCTCCTTCTCATTCTCCTCTTTTCCCTCCACTGTAACCCGTGCTTTCCCTTGGCCTAAAAAAGGAAAAGCAGGGCGTCCCATGAGGGGGACTCAACTCGACTCAACTCGACCGGAACGCATCACAGCACATCACACCGATTCAGACTCGAACCCCAAACCGATTAGAACACACAAGCATACAGCCGAGGAGCGACCGAGCTCTCAGCACCTGTTTGTTCCTCTCACCAGAGACTTGGGACCTGTCCCTCTCTCGACCGTTTGTAACCCCTACTACGAACTTTCAGTGCTAGTAACACGAGCAGTAGCAACGAACTAGACGTAGGGACATTCTGCTCGAACCAGTATAAACCCCGTGTCCTCTTAGCACACCATCCGAGCCAGATGCGCAATATTAGAAATTTACTTGTTGGTGGCAACTCGAAATACCGACAGTTGGCAAACCAGGTAGGGGCCTTTTACGCATCTCGACATCCACACCAGGCCTCATATGGCTAATCGCAACGTCAGCTGGGTCCCAGGCGCGCATGTGCGCTTCGGGGACCTAGACTTCATCGTCATGACAGAGGGAGAGCTGGCGCCGGCTCCCGCAGCCGTCCAACCTCACCACTCCGCCGGCCTTGACGCGACCACCAAGGCGCTGGAGGAGCTGCAGCTGCACGCACAGGAGGCCCGCGCCCTCGGGAGCGACCAACCCCTCGGCTTCGACTATGGGAGGTTAGAGCGCCAGCTCAGCGCCTTCCTAGGACCCTGACCATCCTGGGAGGACCTGCGCCACATCACCTTTTCATTCGCCAACGTCATGACGCAGCTCGCTGGAGGAGAGTCGCTCTCTCTAGAATACCACATCCGGAGTGCCCCGACAGCGCTCCCGTGTAGGCCGCGCACCGTGACGCACGCGACACCCTCAACGCCCGCAGGCATAACACGCCCTTAGAACAACCCGATGAGGATGTGTCGGTCCACTAGACGCAGCAAAGCGGTAGGCCGCTCACCGCGCTTCTGGTGCATGAGCGTCTCGGCCTCCACCGCGACGCACGTGACACCCTCGACGCCTGCAAGCGTACCTATGGTGATGCGAGGGAGGGGGCTAGCCGTGGCTACCACCCACATCATGCGACGCTACGACAGTGGCGAGGACCAAAGCCCGAGCCTCGACTTCCTGGGATCTCAGGCCTTTGGCCGACGCATCCTCAAGGGCAAGGCGAAGAGGGATGAGGACGCCGGTGAAGGCGCCTCCAACCGTCCCAACAAGAAGAAGAGGCTGCTTGAGGGCTCGCTCGTGGCCACTACCGACCGTAAGGGAGGCTAAAAGCCCACCGAGGGTACTCGAACCACTTCAAGAGGCTGCTCAAAGGGCCATGCTTGAACCATGCTTTCCTCGTCGAGCACCAATACATGGATTGCGGCCTCTTAAAGCGGTTCTTGTCCGGGGGCTTCAACAAGGGAGAGCATATGAAGGAGACCAGCTAGATGAAGCGCGCGATGTCGTCCTCCTCCGCTCGGCCAAGTACCAGCAAGCGTTGCGCCGGTACCATGGCCATCGAGTATGGGGTTGGGCCTTCAACGTCGGGGACCTGCTGCTCCGCTTTGTCTAGAGCAACAAGACCGCCATAAGTTCTCTCCACCATGGGAGGGACCGCACGTCATCTCGGGGGTGCTCCGACCAGCGCCTACAAGCTCAAGGCCATCGATGGTGAAGTTTTCATCAATGCCTAGAACATCAAGCAGCTACGTCACTTTTTCCCTTAATATAGGCACACTTTCTCTTATCAGTTTTGTTATCAACTCCCCGATCTTTAGGTGATGCCCGACCCCAAAGAATGGTGGGGTTAGGCCTCACTCGGGGACTAATAAGAGCATATCTATCCGATAGATAGTCTCTACGTCTAACCCTTTCTCATGGTTAAGACCCAGGAGCGAGGTTTGTGGAAACAAACACTGAGTAAAACTGGTCGGACTGACGAGAAACCTACTCCTCGGTGGCTACAGCGCCTTTGCTCACCAATGTGATTAGAGTTTTTTTCCGCACCCCAAGCTTTTTAGCCTTAGCCACAGAAAGAGTCGGTACACATTTAAGAGTCTATCCGCCCGACGAACATTCTCCGTGCCCGACCCCTCTCACGTTGAGACCTAGAAGCTAGGGATACAAAACAAACTCTGAGTAAAACTGGTCGAACGGCGAGAAACCTATGCCACGGTGGCTACGGCATCTTTGCTCACTAGCGTGATCGGAATTTGTTCACCCGCATCCCGAACTTTACGGCCTTAACAACGGAAAAGGTCGGAGCACATTAACCTTTTTATACGAAAGGGGGAGAAGGTCTAAAAACTGTTTGGCCATAATGAAATTTAAGAGCTTGTCCATTTATTACAAGTTCGCCGCCTAGCTTATCTGCCTAACTAAATTCTTGTTCGGGATGTTCTCATCCTCTATCTCCGTAGGTAAGTCCTATCCTAGTAGGGCAATACAAGTGACTGGATGGCTTAGCCACTGCCGAGGGATGGGTATGGGGTAGTAGGATGCCCCACATGGGTTATGCCGACCCCATCACAGACGATGGGCCCGACCCCTTTCTCGCACTAAAACCTAGAGGCAAGGTGTGTGGAAACAAACTCTAAGTAAAACTGGTCGGACCGCTAGAAACCTATGCCCCAGCGGCTATGGCATT